TTTTCAGAGATCTCTTTGTTGATACAGAGAAATCCACCTGATTTTTGCATGTGGATCTTGTATGTTGCCACTTTGATGAATCATTCAATTAGTTCCAATAGTTTTCTTGTTCAATCTGTTGGTTTTTCTGTGTATTGGATCATATCAACTACTTACAGAGATAGTTTTACTACTACTTCGCTAATTTGGATACCTTTTCTTTTTCTTACTTGCCTTACTGCCCCGGCTAAGACTCCAATACAATGTTGAGTAGAAGTGTTGAAGAGTGCATTCTTGGTCTGGTTCCTGTTCACGGGGGAATGCTTTTAGTCTCTGCTGAGAATAATTTTAACTATTGGTTTTGAATCTTTCTTAACCATTCAGATATTTCTTGAGTGCCTCCTATATGACTCTCCTTGTTCTAACTCACTGCTGTCGAGTCGGATCCAACTCATAGCGACCTCTCCTTGGGTTTCTGACGCAGTATCACTGCGGAAGTAGATTGCCCAGTCTTCTTTCTGAGGAGGGTTGGTGGGTTTGAACTGCCAGCCTAATGATTAGCAGTCAAATGCCTTAGGCACTATGCCACCAGACCTCCCGACTCCTTATTCTAGTTGATGGGAATCCAGTGTTGATAAGAGAAATTTCCTGCATTCATGTAGTGTATAATCTAATGGTAAAAATAAACAATAGATATATAATACATATTTAATTTTCGTAGAAGCAGTTCTTCATTATTTGTGACAATAAGTACAACTGGCGTCAGTAGGCTTGAGAACAGGCGTAACACATGCAAGCACACATGTTTCTGGGAGCACAACTGCTGGAGTAGAGTAGTTGTGGGGCATTGAAGGTGCCTCCTGCATTAGTCATTATGCTCTGTTCAGGGATGGGCAGCGTGGATTTTGCAAGTTCATTGTATGGAACTTGTTGAAGAGAGCATTAATTGTATAAATGTAGGTTAATAAACAAGTTTTTAGATTAAAGCCATATGGAACAGATTGGGCCACATGTGTAATCTTAATGCAACATTTTCTGGTTTTCATAGAAATGAAGTAAGAGAAATCTCGGCTATTATTGATTATAAATAGCCTCTTACCTCCATTCTTAACACTGCCAGCATAGTTTTGGTATAAACTACTCTTTCTCCCCTGAGCTGTTGGCAGTAGCTGTTTAATTTTTGCAGACAGGCTATATATAGTAGGCTTTATCCTTTTTATTCAGGCTAACCTTTTCTGTCATTTAATTCATTGTCATTTAATTGACGTGTTTAGGCCTTTTTACATCTGATACAATTATTGATATGGTTAGATTTGTATCTACCATCTTGCTATTTGTTTTCCATTTGTTCCATCGCTCTTTATTCTTTGTCTTTACCTGACTCTTTTTTTTTTTAAATCTAAAAGTACTCTGCTGAGAATAATTTTAACTATTGGTTTTGAATCTTTCTTAACCATTCAAATATTTCTTGAGTGCCTCCTATATGACTCTCCTTGTTCTAACTCACTGCTGTCGAGTCGGATCCAACTCATAGCGACCTCTCCTTGGGTTTCTGACGCAGTATCACTGTGGAAGTAGATTGCCCAGTCTTCTTTCTGAGGAGGGTTGGTGAGTTTGAACTGCCAGCCTAATGATTAGCAGTCAAATGCCTTAGGCACTATGCCACCAGACCTCCCGACTCCTTATTCTAGTTGATGGGAATCCAGTTAATGTTCGTTTCGTTTCCATGATGTATCTTTTTTTTTTAAGTGTTTGCTCTAGGGTTTATATGCATCTTTAGCTTATCACATTCTGTCATCAATTATTACACTACTTTGCATATAGTGTGAGACTCTGACAGTGGTAAACTCCTCTTTCCCTTCCCTGTCTTTGTGTTACTTTGTGCCATACTGTACCATACATTAACCAAAAAAAAAAAAACAAACAAACAAACTCACACCATTGAGTCGATTCTGACTCATAGCTATCCCCATTGGGTTTCCAAGGCTGTAAATTGTTATGGAAGTAGATTGCCCCATCTTCCTTCTGTGGAGCGGCTGGTGGGTTTGAATCACCAACCTTTGGTTAGCAGTCAGATGCCTTTAACACTGTGCTCCAGAACTCCTTTTTACCACACGTTATGAACCCTATACATAATACTTTGTTACAGTGTTTTTTTTAAAACAGTCAGTTGTGTTTTAGAGAAATGAGCATATCTAGGGGGAATGAAAGTCTTTTGTATTTACCACGTGCACCCACCCCTTACATATGGCCATGGTTAGATTCCAAAGAGTTAGTTCCTTATGTAGAAATTGGTGTTATGCAGAAATGGAGGATGACCACAGATTACAGAGTGGAAGATAACTGCGTCTTTACATAACTGCCAAACCACTGAGAATCATGGCCTAGCCAAACTGCTACAAAACGTTAACTGTCACAGGCGGTGTTATTCTTGCCTCACACCTTGGCATTTGTTACTGCTAGGAATACATTGTTAATGCCAAAAATAGTTGGTTAGTAGAGTTTTTACTGTTGTCACAAATGTGAAATGTTGGATAACAAGATAGTAAGTAAGGAGTAGATATATTTACCTTTTCTGCTTCCATAAAGATTGCAGCCCGGGAGACCCTGTGGGGCAGTTCCACTCTGTCATGTAGGGTCGCTATGAGTTGGGCTTAACTGGATAGCAGTGGGTTTGGTCTGTGGTTAAGCCCTGTATTGCTTCCATTAAGGACTGGTCTCAGCTGCTGTGGTTCCCTCAAGGCTGTGAGGTTCTGACCTGTTGTTGCTGTTAATTTGTAGTCTGTAGGTACGGGGCAGAAATTAATGATTCCAAAAAATCAAAATGTAGGGAGGAAATACACATTTAGATCTTACGAGGTTTGGAGTCTTGAGAAGCTGTTTTTTAAAAAAAAGTTTCCTTTTTTAAACATGTAGTTATAAAACTTCATACTGTACCCACCCAATCTATGCCATTCAATATACAACAGGCAGTATAAACCAAAAAACCAGTCTTGTCTTTGGTGAGTCAAATCTGACTCATGAAGACCCCCCCCAGGTGTTAGAGTGAAACTGCTCCATAGGATTTTCGTGGCTGTAATTTTTATGGACTCAAATCGCCAGGCCTTTCTTCCGCAGTGCCTGTGGGTGGTTTTGAACCTTCATCTGTTAGATTAATAGTCAAGTGCAAACCCTGTGTATCAGCCAGGGTCACTCTGTATAACTAACTGTTAGTAGATGTTCCCATAGGTCTTACCAATCTGAATTCATACACTTTTTATTTAACATTACTTCCTAAATTTCCACATACTTACATAATACTAATTTTTTTTTACTATATTTATTGTGTTGTTAATTTCTTGATATCCTTCTCAAGATAGGCTGTTTCCAGTTTTCCCATTTCTTGCCATTCTAATACTGATTTTATAATTGTACAGAAGATTGATATTCTCAATTTTATTCTTAGTGTTCTTTAGCTTTGCTATTGTCATTTTAATTCATTCCTCATTTACATATAGTTGATTTCATGGTTGCAGGATGTGTCATCAGGTTTTCCATTTTATTGAAGTGTAGTTCATATACTATACAATTCGCCCTTTTAAAATCTACCATTCCCTGGTTTTTAGCATATTTACAAGGTTGTGCAACCATTCCTACTAATTCAGAAGTATTTTACTACCAAAAAAAAGAAATACCATACACTCTTCAGCAAAGTGACTCCTTATTCATCTGCCCCTCCATCCCCTAGCAACTATTCATCTACTTTGTGTCTTTATAGATTTATTGGACATTTCATATCAGTGGAATCATATGATATGTGGCCTTTCCTCACTGGCTTCTTTTACTTACTGTTTTCAAGATGCATCCATATTGTAGCTTATATCAGTACTTCATTCTTTTTATGGCTGTATATAATATTGCAGCTGTATGGTGACACCATGTTTTGTTTGACTGTTATGAATAAGGCTGCTGTGAACATTCATGTACAAGTTTTTCTGTTAACATGTTGTTCTGGTTAACTAGTGCTGCTCTGACAGGAATATACCACAAATGGGATGGCTTAAACAAACAGAAGTTTATTCTTACAGTTTGGAGGCTTTAAGTCCAAGTTTAAAGTGCCAAGCTCTAGGGGCTGGGTGAAGGCCCCTCAGCTTTGGGCTTCAGCTCTGCCTCCAGCTCCCGGCCCACTGAAGCTAGAGGCTTTTCTTCACTCAGACAGCTGCTGCCTGCTGAGGCTGAGAAGCCCAAGGTTGACAAATAAAATGACACTGTCCCGATGTTACCAAACCACATGGCAGGCCATTAATTTAAGTCCATTGCAAGTCCCAAGGTTGGCAGAGCATGGCAGGCTGCTGAACAACCACACGGCTACATGCAGGGTCCATGCATGCCATAAGCTAGAGACTAGCCCCAAGGCTTCTCCTTAAATACAGGAAGCAGATCACATCCGAAAGGCAGCTATTCAACTGCTTGCGGTAGATCCCACCACGGAGTTGATTGCCAGTCTCATCATGGGGAATAACTACCACCAGCTGCCCAGCCACTCAACTGGCCCAGCCAAGTATAACATAAGCACCACACATGTTTTCAAATTTTATTGCATATATTCTTTTTAGTGGCATTGTTAGGTCATATGGTAATGCTTTGTTTTTTAGGAATTGCTAAACTGCTCATTATTTGATGTATAATCTCAGTAATACTGTGGGAATTTTTTACTTGAATAGTCTGCTAGGAGCATGAGCATTACAGGTCCAGGGTTCAGAACTTCCTTCCCCAAAGAATTGAGGTGCTGTAATGTTCTAATAAAGAAAAGTTTCATAGACTCTTTTCTTGAATGTCTTTAGGAAAATGTCAAAAGCTTGTTTGAGACAGGTATGTTTCTGCCTAAGCATGAGTTTAGCTAATATATTTTATAGACGTTTTTAAAGGTTCTCATTCTCAGTAGCAAGTGAAAGGTATATGAAACCATAGTCCATTGGGCCCTTGGTACAGTACGTTTTCATAGAATATTGTGTTCTAACAGTGGATTGTTTCTCTTCCAGGGTTTTGACTCTGGGAGGAGGACTGCCTTATTTGGAGCACCTTAATCTCTCTGGTTGTCTTACTGTAACTGGTGCTGGCCTGCAGGATTTGGTCTCAGTGTGTCCTTCTCTAAATGATGAATACTTTTACTACTGTGACAACATTAACGGTAATGCCTTTTAACAGTGAGATAATTTTGAAGGCATTGATTTAAAACATTTTAACAGTTTTAATAATTCTTAGGGTTTCTCTTTAATTTTCTAGATTTCTGATTACCAAACTATTTTAATTCCTAATTTAATCCTTTACATTTTACAAAATTGAAAACTTATTTTCATTAATTAGCTTCTTGAAAGGTAAGTTTTTCATGCAGATAGATATTTCAAATACTAATTCTGCCAGCTTTTGTGGTATATAGTAGTTTAGTCATTCAAAAATGACAAGTTCTAGACAGACTAAAATTCTTATAAAATTTGAGATACGGAGTTTTTAGATACACCAGTTTCTTAATCTCCACTCACTTTGAGGAATGATGAACTCAGTTTTCTTGTAGGCCAGCTATAGCTTTATCAAATGCGGTAGAAAACAGAGACTTTGGTAACATGACCTCAGGGACGCTGGGTCTAGTTCTAGGTAAATCTCACTGCAGACTGAGGAGTGGTTGGAGAGGCAGTCACAGTTTAGTCATGACTAAATTTCCTACTGTTGTTCTGAAGATTGATTCCTGAACCGACTTTAAAAAATCATCAGGTAAATATTTCTTGATTTTTGTTTTTTATGCCTATCCGCCCCTACCATGGACTTGTTGAATATACTTTTTCAAAGTACCTTTACCCAAATCACAATTAAAAAAAAAAATCACAGTAAGAAGTTAAAAAACATAGTATGTTCAGTGCCCTCTTGGGCATTTGATAAACTGCTCCTTAATTATGAATAAGCACACCAACCTCCAGTACTTACAAGAAAAAAATTGAGATGGCTTAGACCTGACTGTGCACCTGCCTTTCCACACCGTCTCCTATTGTCTTTGAGAGCCTGAGGCCTCTGAAGATGACAGGAAGAACTCCTGAGTTTTCCTCAGAGCACTTGACAGATGGAAGAGTAAATTCTTCTTTAATGACACACCAGAAGGCAGATAAGTTAACACATCTGCTATTTCTCAAATATTAGATTTTCCTTAAAATATACATGAAGATATAGGAGATACCACCTCTTTTATTTCTGGAATCACATCAGTGATGAAGAAGATGGCCTCCCGTGTTCTTGAAATAGCAGCCCTGAGTTGGAGCGTTTCTTTGCTCTCTGTTGCTTTCAGTCTGTAATCAAGGACTCCTGAACAGGAATGTCGCTTTAGTTGCTACTTGCTAAGCCTACACAGTATGATTGCTGCAATAAAGTAGTCATTTCTTGTGGACACGGTGAGTTTGAGAAAAGATTTTTTGTTTTTTTAAACGTAGTTATGTCATTGTCAGTTCAGTGGGTGTACTGGTACTTCCTAAGGCTTATAGATCATGTTCTGAAAAGTGATCAGTAAGCATTTATTTTTTATAAGAAAATCCTCTTATTTGTATGTTGCACGTTCCACTTGAATTGTTAACACCGATTTCAGCATCGGTTATGTTTTCAGAAATAAATTTTATCATCCGGTTGTTTACTTTAAGTATATAGATGTTACGGGGAGAGGGAATTAAATTTCAGTTCCTTTTTATGATCTGCCTACTTGTTTTGTGTGTGTTAAGCTTCTTGGGATAATTGAGATGATAGGATAAGTTAAATACGTAAAATCTTTTGTACTTTGTTAGCATGTCAGAGTCCCTTCACTCTTGACTGGTTTTGAATATAAAATATTCATGTTCCAGAGGAGCCGCTGCATTCCTTTTGTTGAAGATAAGAGGTGGTCTCATTTATTTATTTTAAATAAATGGTAATTTTCAATAAATAAATTTTAAAGACGGTAATCTGACTTTGAAAGATTTGAAAGGAAATTAGCAGCAGGTATATAAGGTAGTATTAAATCTCCTTTTACAGCTTATGAAAGCATGATTCAGGGAAATAGAAATCCTTTAAAGTTTACAGAATGACTTGTCATATTAACTTGTGTTCCAGAGTTCCAGCCAATTGCCTTTAAAATAATACTCTGATATAATCTCTTCCTTAAAAGAATTTATGGGCAACCCAGCAACTGCTATAATGAAATTTTATTGTAGCCAGTTACGCAGATGGCACTGCTCATGTAGCGTCTTTCAGAACAACTCAGCTTGTGCAGTGAATGCTTAGCTCTGCCCGCTTTTGTTGTTGTTTTTTAATTTCTGAAAGTAGTTCGTGTATTTTGTACATGGTCTGTGGAAATGAGTATTTAAGTGACAAATGATATTTTTTAAAATTTGAGAGTGACATTTTAGTAAAAATGTATGTGGTCAAAAGAAACCTACACAGTAGACCGTCGGCCAACTGAAAGAAGTAAAGACTGATGGACATTATTCGTTAACTAAACGATAAGTGCAGAACGAGCTGGTTCCTCAGCACTAACAGAAACTTTGGAGAAGAAAAAAAGTAAGGCACCAGCTATTTAACAGAGAACTGCTGTGAGCAAGTCACTGTACCAAGCACAGATATAAAATGAAATTCTTGATTCGTCTGGTTCTTCATAGCGTTTACATTTGTTAGTTGCTTGATAACCCTAAGTTTGAATATAAAATTAAGCTTTCTTAGCCGTAACACTGAAAAAATTATTTGCCATTTACAAAGCATTACATGGAATTGCATGGTGTTAGAACTGAGGAACATTTGACCAATGACAGCAAATAAACCTTTGTGGTGATTTGCATTTCAGTGTATGTATAATTTTGAGGTGAGATAGATTAGCTCATAGTTCTGGAGGCGACAGTCTCAGGTGATTTGTTCTCATGTTTTTAATCTTTAAAGAGGATAAAGGTAAGTGCAGGTAAGTGGAGATGTAACACGAAGTAATGAAAATTCAGGCAGAATGAACCGTGCCATAGTAAAAATTTGGGAAATCACTATACCTTTATATAAAAATGTTTTTAACTAATATTTTTAACTGCTTGTTTAGAAAATATATTCTCTACAATGCATTTAAAGATTATATTTAATGATTATACAACTTCTATTTTCCTTCATTATTCTTATTAAATGTAATTTACCCATCCTGTATTGTCACCATTGGGCTTCTCTGTCTGCATTGAGATGGGAATGTGCTAGTGATGAGTCAGGTGTTGAAAGGACGCTGCCTTTTAATTTACATCAGTCATGTCTGCTGATGCACAGCTCTCTCCCTGAGAGCCTTGGCAGCACAATGTAACTTAGAGACGTGCTTCCTTCTAATAAGGACCCTTTATTGTTTCTTTGGTCATTTACTCACTTTTCTAAATGATTCTTTAAGGATGGTGAAGGGTCTTTTTGTTAGTTGGCTTACAATTTCCAGACTTCGGTAGTAGCTATCCTTACTTCTGCAGCAGGAGACACACTTACCTTCAAAGCAGTGGTTGTTGTCACTGTTGCTTTGCCCCTGGCCATGGGTTGTTAGGAGCTGAAACTTGCTCTGTCATTGACCTTATAATTGGATTGTAGTTTTGGGCCAGTTAGTGGTACACTTACTGGTTAAGTGCCCACAGGTTTGCCTGGCCAGATTCTGCTTTTAAATTTGAAAACACTGATACACTTAGAATCTCATTAAAACTCAGAGAAATCTAGTGCATATTTGAAGGAAGTGGGCACATTTTTTTTTTTTTTTTTATTGTGATTTGGGTGAAGATTTACAAAGCAAATTCACTTTCTATACAGCAGTTCACATATACTTTGTCTCATGTCATT